CTTGCAGTGAGCCGAGGTCACGCCACTGCACTCCAGCCTGGGCAACAGAGCGAGATTCTGTCTCAAAAAAAAAAAAAAAAAAAAATTAGAGTGGTGTGGTGGCTCACACCTATGGTCCCAGCATACTTGGGAGGCTGAGGTGGTAGGACTGCCTGAGCCCAGGAAGATGGAGGTTAGAGTAAGCCATGATCACACTCCAGCCTGGATTACAGAGGGAGACCCTGTCTAAAGAAAAGAATATCCTACAATAAACTCTCACATTTAAAGCCAACTGATTTTCAACGAGGGTGCAAGAACAATTCAATGGGGAAGAAAAGTATTTTCCATAAATGTCACTGGGACAACTGATTATCAACTTGCAAAAGAATAAAGTGGGACCCCCACTTCAAACCACAGACAAAAATTAACTCAAAATTGATCGAAAACCTAGATAAAAGAGATAAAACTCCAAGAAGAAAAAAAAACAAATATAAATCTTTGTGACCTTCTATTAAGTAATGATTTCTTAGGTGTTAGAACAAAAGCACCAGCAACTGAAAGGAAAAAAAAAAAAAAAAACAGGTAAGTTGGACTGCATCAAAATTAAAAACATTTGTACTTCAAAGGACATCATCAAGAAAGGGGAAAGACAAGCCACAGACTGGAAGAAAATATCTGCAAATCCCATGGCTGATAAGGGACTTCTGCTTATATAAAGAACTCTGAAAACTCAACAATAAAAATCAATCCAATTTGAAATCACAGGATCTGAAGAGATATTTCTCCAAAGAAGATCTAAAGGCGGTCAATAAGTACATGAAATGATGCTCAACATCACTGGCCATCAGGAAAACGCAAACCAAAACCACAAAGAGATGCCACTTCACACCTGCCAGAACAGCCACAGACACTAAGAAATGGTGGCGAGGACGTGGAGAACCTGGAGCCCTTCACAACTGCTGCAGGGAAAGCAAGATGGGGCAGCCACTGTGGGGGTCCAGCAGTTCCCCCAGGGTGCATCAGGCCGTGGCTCAGCGGCAGTGGGTAAGGAAACAGGGCACAGGCAGAGCCTAAAGGGTAATGGAATAACCTGGTGCCTGTGGCATCTGATGTCATGTAGGAAACAAGTTCCACTAGAAAGGCCAAAGGAGGTATGACCAGGGGGAGAAGAGGGAAGAGCAGGAGGGCACTGGAGCCAACAGAAGAAACAGTTCAAAGACACAGAAAGGACGGCAACAGGAAGGGGCCAAAGAATAGGAAGAAAACACCCAGTCAGGCTGCAGGAGGTGGATGGCACGGGAGGTGGGGGCAACCCTGGAGGGTCGGCTGGGAGTGGCGGCAGAGGCAGGCAGCGGTCAGAGCAGTGCACAGCCGGTGGGTGGACAAGCACCCACAAGCACAGAGAGGCCGTCTACGGTGAAAGGACACGGCAGGGGCCACAGCCCACAGTCCATGAGGGGCCAGGCCTTGCTCGCTGTCTGGAGAGGTGTGGACTCCAGCTGGGAGAGCCTCAGGCAAGTCCTGTGCCGGACCTGCTCCCACAGCCGCCAGCCTCATGGGTCCAGCCGAACACCGCTCTCCCTTCACTGTGGACAGCACAGCGCGTCTGGCGCCACGTGCCCTCATTTCCTGGGGGCGCTCTCGGTGGTGCAAGCTCTACAACAACATCCGAACCCTGAAGACGAACCCTGAAGCCTCACGTGTGCACCACGCCTTGCAGAGGGGTGCAGCCCCGCCAACTCCCCTCACCCCAACTCCCCTCCTCCTAACTCCCCTCACCCTGCCTCTCTGCAGACACTTGCTTCCATACCGCTCCCTCCACCTCCTGGTGACCACTGCCGTTCTCCAAGTCTCTGCCATAAAATTGGAGTCATGCAGTTTTGGCCCTTTGGGTCTGGCCTCCTTCACTTAACAAACCGTGCATAAGCTTCATCCACGGTGCGGTGTGAGTCACGCTGTGTGCTCTTCTGGGCTGCTGACCGCTGTCCCACTGTGTGGATGCACCACAATCTGTTCATCCAGCTCCTTATCAACTGAGGACACCGGAGTGTCTCCGGTTTTTGGTGACGTGAACAATGCTGCTATAAACATTTGTGTGGCCACTCACTTTTAATTTTCTGGGTGTACTTTAAGACAAGGATATGCAGGATTTTTGCTTTTCATACTTTGACAAATGTGTTCCTTTTCCGGCAGAGCTTTTGTGTGTGTCTGTGCAACTGTGTCTACGTAGGAATGGGATACATTAGAAACTACAACATAAACCTAGGTAAAGCAAAGAAAGTCAGAAGACGGGGACAAATAAGAGAGGAAGAACAGCAGGTTTTCTAGTCTGGAGGGAGGCGCTGCTCCTGTCCCTCGGTGCACACCGCCCTCACCTTCTCCCAGCAGCTCGGTTTTCACACAGCAATCCTGCTGAGGCTCCCCCCTCGCCGGAACTGCCTGTTAGAGAGAAACAACAGACGTCAGCCGGGTTCAGCGGGAGGCCGCTTTTCCAAATGGACATCATTTGGAAAAAGTCAAAAAATCTTCGTGACAACATTCACTATGAGCTGCTGGACAGTCACTCCTCCTGCCAGCTGGCTACAGTCGCCTCCAGAAGAACTGACATTCAGAATACAGCCCAGGGAAACTTCTCCTGTATTTCTATTTTTGGAGACAGTTTTTTAACAGTAAGAACACATTCGTGTATTATTTACATAATTAGATATCTGAAATATTTTGGCTCTGTTACAGGAATGTTACAATTTATTTCAAAATGCATTCTGCTGCTGACAATAACTCACATATTTCAAATGTCCAACCTCCTACAAAAAATTATAGAAATAAATCAAGAAAATTCAGTAGGAAACTTAAATCACTAAATGTTTGAGATTAAGCATCTACTATGTAGCGTTATATATTATACAAGGCCTCTTAAAATTTTTTTTTTTGTTGAGACAGAGTTCACTCTCTTGTCCAGGCTGGAGTACAGTGGCGCGATCTCGGCTCACTGCAACCTCTGCTTCCACAGTTCAAGCGATTCTCAGGCCTCAGCCACCCAAGTAGCTGGGACTACAGGCGCCCACCACCACGCCCGGCTAATTTTTGTGTTTTCAGTAGAGATGGGGGTTTCGCCATGTTGGCCCGGCTGGTCTCAAACTCCTGGTCTCACGTGATCTGCCCGCCTCGGCCTCCCAAAGTCCTGGGATGAGAGGTGTGAGTCACTGCACTTGGGTGGTACTGGGACGTAATTTTTTTTTTAACAAAAAAATCCTTGCCTCCAAGAAGCTTAGAGTCTGGTTGGAGAAGTGAACATAAACACAAAAAACGCTCCTAGCCAGGCCCCTCCTGACGCAGAAGCAGGGCCACGGAGTCCATGAGGAGACGGCAGGGAATCTGCAAATGCCCCGCCCACAGCTGGGGGCTTCGGAAGAGGGCTGCTGACCGCTCTGGGCAGTCTGAGAGGCCAGACTGCAAGTGGGAACTGTCAGGCTGACACCCCAGCCTGGTGATGTGATACTGGAGAAACCCCTCTGCTGAGGCCACTGGAAGCTGGAAGTGGGCAGGAAGCCTCGGGGGCAGATAAAACAGCAACAAGTGAGCGAGGCACACCTGGGGCTCCAGGAGTCCACGACCAGACGAGGAGATGCAGAGACCTGCCCGAGGTCACCAGGAGCAGCCAGTCAGACAGCTGCAGGAGACCAACCACGCCGTTTCCATCTTTGACTATCAACAAGTAAAAAGCATAAGAGGTTGCAAAAACCTGGGTGTCCAGCGTCTGGGTGAGAAAACACGTCAACAACGGGGCCTCTCAACGGACGCCTCCGCCCCACAAAGCAGACACCAGGCCAGCCCCTACCTGTGCCCAGATGTGGCTACTGCTTTTCAGGGCTCAGATCCCTGACCTGGGGGCCTCCGGGCTGACTTGGTAACACCTGACTTAACTGCATCACCTTCCCAAGGAGCTGGTCTTAGCAACGGTGCACAGCCCGCCCCATCACGGTAAGGCAGGGAGGCCCAGGTATCCACCTCCCACCCCCGATCTCCCACTGCCAAGCCGGGGCCAGGCAGCCCAGCTGCTCGTGCCAGCCCTCGAACATGCAGGGCACGCTACCTTTCCTGGTCCATCACAGCTGTATGCCAGCCAGCTCAGCCTGCACTCTTCACACCTACCCACAACAGGAGTTCTCCGGGGACCCCTGCAATCCTTCCAGGAGTCCAGGAGGTCAAACCTATTTTCATAATAATACCAGGACCTCAATTTTCTTTTTCACTGTGTTGATATTTGCGCAGACGGTACCCAAGCGGGGGTATCAGCCCCTTAGCATCGACCAGGTCAGGACACCAAAGTGTACACCAGCAACTGAACTCTTGACCACTACGCACTTGGGGGGCTTGCCTGAGAACGCCCTGAATGAGGCAGTGAGATGATGGCCTCTGAGCGCAGCTCTCCAGTGTTCTACATCAGAGGAAGGGGGCAGGCAGCAGGCCAGGCGCAATGGCTGGGTGGAACCCGAAGCTTTCCTCACTCATAGAGCATCTTCACTTAAAAGAACAACTGGCAAAATCTATGCTACTCAGACTTGGATATGCCACTCAGGCCGGGACATGCCGCTCAGGCCTGGACATGCCACTCAGATCTGGACCTGCCACTCAGGCCTGGACTTGCCACTCAGGCCTGTATATGCCACTCAGACCTGGATATGCCACTTAGACCTGGACCTGCCACTCAGACCTGGACCTGCCACTCAGGCCTGGACTTGCCACTCAGACCTGGATATGCCACTTAGACCTGGACCTGCCACTCAGACCTGGACCTGCCACTCAGACCTGGACCTGCCACTCAGACCTGGACCTGCCACTCAGGCCTGGATATCTGGCAGACATTTCCACAAAACAGAGTGAGCCTCAAAGAAAACAACCAGTAGTATCTGTTGCCAGTGTTAAAACTCTACCTTTTGAATTTTCGAAACACACGTAAATGTGTATCCGTCCCTACGAGCTTGAAAGTTTCCCGCAGTTATGACTTTTCTTATTACATGAAAGGTATCATTAGTGACTACGATTTTTGATACCATATAATAAAACGTGTCAACATGGGGAAGATCTTCATAACAAGGTGAGCCAACATTCCCCAAACGCCCAGTGCCTAATATTCAAAATCACGCACGGGCAAAAGATGCATCCAGACGGGCTTTAACGCCACAGAGGAAGAAGGCCACTGGCACAGTTTCACCTTGTTGAGTCTTGGTGCCGTATCGAAGCAGAACAGCTGCAATTATCTGAAAAGATATCAAAATACTTCTCCCTTGCCAACCACAGTCTATGTAAGGCCAGATTTTCTCCTATCAGACAGTATCACCTCAGGCTGGGTGCAGAAGCCGATCTTAAATCCAGCTGTCTCTTGGATTAGCCAGACGTGACAGAGACGGACCAACATGGAAAACAATGCCACCCAACTGAGTTTTTTCATTCAGAGAAAGTACTTTTCATAGACACTGCTGTTTTCCCTAACATGTAAATAAAATGCTATGTGTTTATTATTTTTTAAAAATTATGTGATTTTTAACTTTTCAATTTTCATTTCCTTTACAGTATCCATCATCAGATACAGCCCAATTAAAAAGAGCCCTCTGGGGTCCTCAATACTTTTAAGACTAGGGCCTTGAGGCCCACCAAAGACACCTGCCCGCCACGGCACAGCTCTGCCGACAAGGTCTCCTGGCCTGAGATGAGCCCGGGTGGAGCATGGCAGGCAGACCTCGTGAAGCTGCTGGGGTCTACAGACATTTTCGGGCATGAGCTGTGGCCCTCACATGCTGTCCCCTCCTGAAGGCACCTGCCAAACCCCACTCCATCTCACAGTCCTTATCACCACCACCAGCCACAAATCCTACCCATGAAATTAAGTTGTATAATCTTTTGAAAAAATGTTTAAGAATGCTATGTAACACACTACCAAATAATGTCTAGAATTATCCACTATTCTGCTGTGTGTCCAATTCAACTGCACTCAGGAATCCTCTGACAAGCGCTGACCAACAAGCCAGTCCTCACACCAGTGTTAGGTCCAGAAACACAGCACAGACGCCTCTGGCTGGTCGGTAGCATCCCCAGTGCTCCCTTCCATTAAGGGACAGCTGAGGACGGCCCAGGGCAGAGGTGAAAGGAAAAGGGGACACCAAGGAGGAGGAGGGAGGACCGGCAGAAGCAGATAGAGCAAGTTCTGCAAGGCAGTGGCTCCACCCTCTCCTCCAGAACCACGACCTCTCCTGACTTCCAGGAGGCTTGGGAAGGTTTTCTCCTAGCAAGGGATGCTGCTTCTGTGGCCCAGGGGCTGCCCCTCGGGGCTGACGCATCACAAGCTGGCTTCGGAGAACAGCCCTGGGAGCAGTACTGCCAAGTCTCCTTAGGGCTGATGGATTCTAGGAGTTTATGAAACCTCCCGATTAAGAACAAATTAGTTTACAATACAAATGTAAATGACAGGCTGGGTGCCCTGGCTCATGCCTGCAATCTCAGCACTTTGGGAGGCCGAGGCGGGTGGATCACAAGGTCAGGAGTTCGAGACCAACATGGCAAAACCCTATCTCTACTAAAAATATAAAAGTTATCCGGGCGTGGTGGCGGGCGCCTGTAATCCCAGCTACTCAGGAGGCTGAGGCAGGAGAATCGCTTGAACCCGGGAGGCGGAGGTTGCAGCGAGCCAAGATCGCACCACTGCACTCTAATCTGGGTGACACAGAAAGACTCCGTGTCAAAAATAAATTTAAAAGGAGAGGAAGAGCTCCTATTCGTAACAGTGACAGAAATGCTGTCTCATCTCAATCATTCAGCCTAGCACATTATTCCTTCTCCTTGATCTAAGCAAAACGAAATGAATTAGTTAAAACAAAACTGTGTTTTATGTATCCTAAATCGAGACCTTTCCACTGACAACATCCACCTAGCGGGAGGGAGCCAGCCGCAGGGACTCAGACCCCGCACCGCAGAAGCTCCGCCCAGTCCAGGAAGCGTGGCCAGGAAATTCCAGAAAAAAATCATCTGCATTTCCCTCAGGAGCCCCAACCTGCAACTCCCCCAGACGGCCCAGGATCCCACCGACGCCCAGGCCAGGCCAGCTCCATGTGCCCTGCCCTGCCATGGCCCCGTGTGCCTTGACTGGCAGAGCCCAGCCCCGCCCCTGAGGATGCCACGCCCCTAGAGACGCCCCCCCACCCACGAGGCAGAGGAGCCCAGGCAGAGGTCAGGGGTCCAGGTCCACCCCAGGAAGAATGGCCTGGACCTTCCCCACCTCGCAATTCGGAAGTCCAGGAGAGGGAGGCATTGCAACTCACTTTTCAGAGGTTGACAGGAGCTCCAGAGCCATGAGGAGAGGAGGGGACCGTGGGCCTCTCTTGGTCAGTACAGGTGCCAGGGCAGGGCTGGTCCAGACCCCACAGCCCCAAGACTGCCACAGG